CCCGTGTTTTTGTTGTGTTGTGTGTGTGTGTGTGTGTGTGTCTTATGAAATTGGGGAAATTGGGGCATTTCACCATAATGATGTGCTTACTTGGTTGATATTAGTATGTAACATTGGAGATCTTGGAAGTTGACACTGATGGAGATTAAGAATTTCCATGTTTGTTCCTTCTTCCCTCTCTCTCCTCTAACAACACATATGTATCTATGTCTACAAAACAAATGTAGACATAGAGTGGAGGCAAAAATTTCAGTGTTCATGATAAGAGAGGAAATAGAGTGGAGACAAAATTTTCAGAAAATCATAATTTGATGTGGTTAAGAACTTTTGAGGCTGCTGCTTCTCTCTTTTTCTACATATGTAATACATATATATGTATGTCCATACTAAAGTTAGATATGTATACAATGTATATAATACACCAAAACAACAACAAAGCTGTAAGTTCTAACTATTTAGGGTCGGCTACATGGATTTTTTCGCTATTGAGAATGAAATACACAAAAGAAAGAGCTGTCGTAAGAACGGAAATAAAATTCATGATAGCATTTAGTGGAGTGCTTATATAAGGCGGGTTTTGTATAGCACATCAACTTAAGTTGCTGCATTGGGGCATGCACATGCAAGGTGTCCAAGGCCTAGACGGTCTTACCAGAAAGCAGCAAACTTCTTACCTTTATGTTTTTCTGTTGCACCTTTGTATGGTTGAAGAATCATAGAGATCCTTGCTTTGTGATGCAAGGGTATGTTTAAAGAACTTTTAGGATATTATTCTTAGATCCTACAATTTGTGTGCAATGTGTTGTATGTGCCCTGGGCAATCATCTACTTGAAGATTGTTCACATTTCATAAATCCTTTTAACTAATGGAGATATTAAACCTGTGAAATATTGAAAAGGTTCTCAACATGTTTTAGTTCATTAAGTTTGTTGGTTCAATATGTAGATTTATCTGTATTGTTATCTAGGCCATTTTATCTTGTATCTACCATGCATGGGCTTTTTTTTTGTTGTTTGGTTGTTTTGAAATTGAGATACTTGTTTTACTTTTTCATGTTCAGGTTCTGATATCTGGTAAAGAAGAACCAGAAGCTGAGATATCCCCAGCTATGGATGCTGTGCTAAGAATCTTCAAACGTGTTAATGGTATTTCAGATATCAGCTCAAACTCAGGATCTGTTCCTGGTACATGTTCAGTCCGATTGTTGGTGGCCTCATCACAAGCTGTGAATTTGATCGGGAAGAAAGGTGAAGCAATAAGGTCTATTCAAGAGAGTAGTAATGCCACTGTGCGGGTTCTATCAGGTATGTGCTTCTATGTCCTTACATAATTGGTGACAAGAAACTGAAATTTGGATTATCTGTTCTTTTGGTTGATATTTTCCTGGTAAACTAATTTTGCTTAATCATATCTGGTTTCTATTTCTGCTTAATATGATTACTAGGATCTTTATGCCAACTTAAGAGCACATGATAAATCTGAAACTCTTTTCTTTTGCTCTCAAAGAATGAGATGTGTTGTGTTGCATTGTGTTGACGAACTTGAATGATATCTCACTTGTACGCTTGTGGGGTAAATAGCTGACTTTTGGACAGTGACGAAAATTTGACCATCCATATGGACAATATCTTAATGAATGATACAACCATTGAGAAGTATATGAGTTTCTGATCTGAAACTATAATAGTTCCTGGTCTTGTAGTTGCTATACCCAAATAGCAGTTTACTAGGCCTACATGCTGTGAAGCTGCCTTTCTATGTGGAGCCAGGTAGATACCTGAGTTCACTCAAAAAGGCTTGACAATGTCTAGATGGAAAGTCGATAAATAAAAGTATAACAAGCTGTCGAATAGGCTTAAAGTTTTGAATGGATCAACCATATGCAAAAAATGTGCCACTCAACTGATATGTAACAACTATTTTTCTATTCACATGACATTTTGGGATATATTAATTTACCAAAGATAACTATTTTTATTAGTATGCAATATATCTAAAACACATGGCATCTGATTCTTTTATTGCATAGGAGAGTTGCCATTTTATGCTGCTCCAGATGAAAGAATTGTAGAAATACAGGGTGAATCATTGAAGGTCCTCAAAGCCCTTGAAGCAGTTACTGGGCATCTCAGGAAGTTTTTGGTTGATCACAGTGTACTTCCTTTGTTTGAGAAGAGTGTAAGACTTTCTTCAAATGCTTGAACTTTAACTTTATTTACAATGTGGGCCATGCCAACTAGATGTTTATTAATAATCGGTATCACTTTCCAATATTTTGTTAGTATAATACACCAGTTACACAAGACAGGCCAGTTGACACATGGGGTGAAAACACTCAATCTTATAGCCACGGCGTGCAACAGTCTGCAATTGGCAATGACTATGGTCTTCCTTTGAAGAGAGATTCCTTTTTTATTGATCGTGAATCTCAATTAGACTCACAAATACCACGTAGCGGACTGGCATTATATGGACAGGATCCTGCTGTCTCTGGTTTACGTTCTTCGGCGCTCGGGCGCACTGGCAGTGCTTTAGAGGTACTTGATCCGTCGTCCCTTACTGTCACTGCAAGATTGTTAGAATTTTTTTTACGTTCTTGCATGCTTGTTTTGTGGTTTTAGTCTTTATATGCATGATTGCTAAGAGTTTCAAAACATGCATAGGGATATAACAAGCATGCCTAGGAATGTTTTTTAGTTATCTTTGATGACATGTGCCTTATGCACTTTATGTTTTTTAGGCATCGTAGATAATTGAAAAAGAAACCGGATCAAATTATTTGCTGATTCATTGCTCTGTTCAGATGGAGAAATATTAGTTGTCGACCATTTACCTTCGGAGGAATAATCTACAGATTCAATATCTAATGTCATCGAAAACATCGAAGCATTTCAATTGTGGATTTATATTTTCTTACATTAGATGAGTACTATACATATTGCTAAATCAAGAACTTGCCTAGAAGATAAAAGATGTTGTGATCAATATGTTATGTCCTTGCCTACTCAAGTACCTCTGTTAGTTCCTACATCAATATTGTAGAACAGCTTCTTGGTTCTTAGCTAAAAACTTGTGGTAAAAGAAAATTGATTACTCTTTTTTTTTTTGAACTTATTGAAGTTCAGTTGGACAACATATACAGTGTTCAATTAGATTCTCCTAGAAGCTTTTTTGGTTCAGAAAACCATTGGCCATGGTTAAAAAGTAAAACAAACAGCAAGTGCCTGAAGTTGCATAATATTTTTACCTATTGTTCTAAGTACGAAGAAAATATGTGATAGATTTTTGTATTATTGCTTCAGAAATCATCTTATTGAGCCTGTTTTGTATTTGCTATATTGTTGAACTATATTTTGATCTGATTTGCCGATGCAGGTCACACAGAAAATGCAAATTCCACTTACATATGCGGAAGATATTATTGGTATAGGAGGGGGCAATATAGCATACATAAGACGTACCAGTGGAGCAGTAATTACTGTTCAAGAGACCAGAGGATTGCCCGATGAGATAACTGTTGAAATGAAGGGCACAACGGCACAGGTTCATGTTGCTCGACAGCTCGTTCAGGTAGCTTGCCCATGATTTTCCCCTGCCTTTTCCCTCCTCATGGATGATGGAGGGATAACACTTACACAGGGTGCCTACCTCTGCTGCTTTTCTCTCAAAAATGACCATGTTGCCTTCTTCTATCCTCTGCAGGAGTTCATCACGGGGCGTAGAGAACCTGTGTCAAGCAACTATGGTGGTGTTGATACAGGATTGAGATCGAGTTACTCGCAGTTGGCGAGTACAGCATACCCATCCTCATCTTATGCATCACATTCCTACGGTGGATATGGTTCGTCTGGACTAGGAGGGTATGGTGGATATAGGCCTTGAGAAAGAGCCTCCTGCTGCTTGCACAAAAGCACCTTGTATGTCACTTAATGGGAGTTTATGTTTCTTGATCAGATTCAGTAATAGCTAAATATTAGTCTGTATGAGGTTCTCCACATGATCCAACAGTAACTGCATCTTTGTTTTTAATCTTTTGTTGGCTGCTAATTGTGGTGTGTGTGTGGTGCCATTCTGCTAGTGTAAATTTACTACCTGCATGGCAAGAAGACCTTAATGGAACGTTGGCTCTCGATTCTGGTTCAAGAGAAGGTTACTTTGATCGGTCGGAAAGGAGAGGTGCATTCTAAATATTATACTTTTTGATTTGTGCCGCACTCTAATTCCGCAATCTTGTATCAATAGGTTCCATACTAAATATTTGGAATGTAGTGTATGAATCTGCCTCATTCTTATACGGTCATGATAAAATATCTACACCTTTGCACCGAAGAGATCATATACTGCATATAGAACAGAACATATATTTGCGAAAACAAAATAAGATGGGCAAACTCGTCAGAGATTCCTGCTTCAGACTTTGCTTCGGAATCGAGTGGCACATGTTGTGATTTCACATGGTGAGAAACGTTGCGATGCTCGGAACAACTGTTCCACTAAGATCGGACGCCGCCTTATCTTTCCTTCGGCTCTCTTTCATTGTACAATACCTGCAAAATCGAAAAGGGGCATAGCTGCTGCATATTCTGCCATGGTTTGGGAAGGAAAACACAAAGAGTACCAGGGTGTGTGTACCTTATCAATTATGCCATATTCAACAGCTTCATGAGGAGTCAAGTACTTTGGTCGCCTGATGTCTTCGCTGATCTTCCAGGGAGGTTCTCCTGTGTGAAATGAGTAGAGACAAATCTAACGATGCAACTGCGTTAGCACCACGGACAAGGGACCAAGATGCAATAAAAATTAAAAGCAGAATGAAACAAGAAGCAAGAAAGTGTCACTGATAGATGAGATAAAAGACTACTCCCAAGAAATTGGATACCAGGTCCAAGATGACATTGAATGCTTAATACCAGTTCAAACTCCTACACTAGATTTATGTTCTCTACAAAGTGTACCACAAAGTGATATATGTAGCAAATGCATATGAAGATTAAGAAGCTATCACATGAAACCCTTTGGTTGGGACTGCCAATCAGCTTTTCTCTCTTTTTTTTTTTTTTAGCTTTGCACGTATGTCACATCGTTATCGTAGAAGACCTAATGTCCAATTTGTAGACAAGCAAGGCTGATCATCATATTCTATAGGACAATTAATACAGTATCTGGATTTGTGACAATCTAAATATTTTCCGTTATATGTTTTTGAGAACTTCAAATTGAAGAACGTGCAACAACACTTATCAGATATTCGCTAAACCAAATGTCCTGTCAACATAAAGCGAACTATACCCTTCGGCCAAAGGCAATTTACAAGGTGCTATTTCAGCATATAATGTATGCAAAATACAGGCTCAAGTTAACAATTTTCTTACCAACTCAAAGTTTGTGTCTCTTACTATTTTCCTTACAGAATCGGTATCTTCTTCTTGACATTGAGCAGCATGCTGCCAATCAGAGGAGATTGATATCATGTGATAAAACATATCAAGAAGCCCTCCAAAAAAAAAGTAGGAAAAAATAACAAAAAAGCCTGATAAATATTGTACCCTCCGGATCATTATTCTCGATGATGGCAAAGCAGCACGATGTCCTTTAGTACCAGCAGCCAAAAGTAGAGCAGCTTCTCCCCAAGCATTGCCAACGCAAAGTGTGAAAATTGGTGGTTTAACGAATCTTGTATCACGGAGAAACTTGTTAAACCATAAAACAAAGAAGACTTTAATTAACATTCAAAGTCCTCAATAATAACAAATTATCTATCAGCTCATTATGAGTTAAAGAAGAATTATGAGACAGATAAAGAAAAATCAAATGCAATTTTAAATGGTCAAACTAGATCATGCTCTCACCATCCAACTTCCAATTTAAACACTCTACACCTTGACCACCTACATGGGCCCATCTACATCGAATCTCATTTGGTTCATAAAAGGAACTTGGAGTTGCTATTGAAAAATAATTTTTCTTGAAATTTTCACCCTCGACAGTCGTCTACTTTTGTGCCAATCAAATCTTAGTCATTTTTTCAAGGATTTTTCAGCAAATGTCCAAATTTCTCTTTTGAATTTAACATCTTTTGTGGTGATTTCTATCACCGTACCATTTTGTACACAAGCTCACGATCAATCATTTTTTCAAGGATACTTTAGCAAATATTCCTATTTCCCTTAACCTCCTAACCTCCCTCCCTCTACAAGGTAAGGTATATAAGAACACTAGGAAAGAGCTGCTTCAGATAGGTGCACTGTATCATGGCAAAATCATCAGATTAGTTTCAAATCTTGCATGTACTTGGCTGACCTCATAACATCATAGATCGCAAAAGCCTCTGTGACAGACGGCAGTTTCTCTCCAACCTGCAAAGAGAAAATTTTATATCAGTTAATGCACCGACCACTTAAGAAACACCACATATGGCAACTTCTAACAAAAAGAATTCTGTCAACAATGATTTCGAGTGCGTTTGCTAATTCCCATGCCAAACTTGAAGAAACAATCTTTGTAACAGGTAACAGATTACTCCTTCTGCCTATAGACAAAAGGGGTTGTCAATAACAATCATAATTCTCAAATACTTTGTGTTACTAATTTAGATCATCTTATCTGGATAACAGACCGAGTAAGACCACATCAACCATATGCAAATATTTAATCACTGAATAACTAAAAAGAAGGACAAGTGCTACAATGAACTAAATGCCAAATATTAACAAAGGTGCATGTATACAGGGTTCGGGGAAGGTCAACTGACATGGTCTTGGTCTTACCCCTGCTTGCAAGCAAGAAGGCTATGTTATTTCCATGGCTCAAACCTTGGTCACCCAAATCGTAAAAGAGCAACATGCCAGCCCTTGCGCACATAAATTCTCAATTTGACTTTTGTTCAATCATCCATCGGCCCTTCATGTCTCGATAGCAAGAGCCAAAGCCTTGTACCACCATTTTATTAATGCATCCACACATATGTCTCTTTTTGATAATGTCATAATCCATAAAGACTTGATATGATGAATGTTTAACACCATTTAAAGTCTGATGTGGATGCAGGTCAGATGGATCGCGTCAAAATAAGCCAACACGTAAATCAATCCGGATAACACATTATCAAATAGAAAGCTACAAGGCCTTACAATAACCAATATATGCTCTCTTGGTCCATATGAGGTTATATATTTTGTATATGTTCGCCATATGAATGAATAATAAATACATGTTCATCGTATGATAAGAGCATTAAGAAAGGGTTCTTGACCTTGGCAGCGCCAGCCGAGTTTATGTAAAGATTAATGGGCTGCACAGCATCCTCGGACTGAAGGTAAAGAAACTCTGCCAGGATGAGCTCCGTAACGGATGGGACGAGCGGCATGCCCAAGTATACGATCCGATTCTTGTACAAGGAAGACGCCAAATCTGGAGGCGGCGGCTCCCGAGCGTCATCTCTTCTAAAAGGGACGAGCTATCGACAAAAAATAGTCATACGCTTATGCAGGGGATAATCCACGGGTAGAAATTGCTTGAGCCGAATTCTAATCAGGTTTCCATCACAATCACTGATCGAGCAATTGATGGAGGAACAAGCACATCAAAACCCTAAACGATCAATCTAGAGCCTGATTCCAACAATTAGGAACAGAGTTGTATAGGCAGGCATGCATGCGTTTGCATATAGACTTGACCAATGGCAACCAAAAATCAACCGAGGCGAAACCGCGTAGCAAGAAACAAACATCAAATCAAGGAAGGGTTCAAGAATCTAAGACCGAGAGCAAGATCGATACCATTGAAGCGGAGAGGCAGCATTTCCGGGCAAAGGAGGCGGGCGAGGACGGACAACATAGCGAGGGCTTGGAGATCTTGTACCTCAAGAAATCGCCGGGAAGTCGACTTCCGGCAACGAAGCCTCCCGTGAAGCGGAGAGAAGGAGAAGCGGCGAGAACGAATGCCATTTTGGGTTCCGGTGCTCCCCCTCTCCCTCTCCCTCCACTAACCGCATTATATTGTTGACCAAAGTCAACCATCACTTCGCTTCTCCCAAAATAAAAATTAATATATAAGATTAAACAAATAAATGTTCATGAAATAATGTGACAAAAGAGAATGATTTTTTTTGTGCATTAGATGATGTCGGTGGAGAGAGAAATGTGTGTGCCAACTGATAAGGTATATTTTGGGTTCAATCGATCAACACCCTACCACGAGACGCGTGACCTGCGGCCCGATCACGCTCAGTTTGATGAGGCCTCGACATGCTCTGAGGTCAAAAGACTCGAGGCGAGGGCAACCGACGGCGAGAACTTCCGGCTGGTAGCAATTGGACCTGTCCCAGACCTCGAGATCGGGGCAGCAAGAAGAGACTATGCCGCCCGACGAGTTGCGGTCCGTGAGCACCAGGTATCCTCGATGGAGTAGGCCAATGAGGCGCCACAAGCGGCGCATTCAGGACCAGCTCCGTCAACGATGAGCAGGTGAAGATGGAGTCGGGCAGATTCAGAACGACATACCAGCGATTGTAATTGCGGTACGCACGACGGCTTCTGAGCTCTCAGAAATGGAGCTTCCGGAGGCCGCAGCGGAGAGCGTGGTTCAGCCACTCAGCGACATTATCCTTGTCGTTGCGGGATCCGAGGGAGTGGATGGGCCGATCACCGCGGGTGCGTAGCATGGTCGTGACGAACCTGTCGAACGCAAGAGGACAAGGAAAGGACGCGAAGTTGAAGTCGAGGTCGGTGACGGAGGTCCAGAGGCGAGATTCGATCTTCTCGAGAGGACAGTGGTCCGCACGGCGTATTTGGCGGGAAGGAAGGAGAGGATGCGGGTGAGGATGTCGTCCGGCAAGCTGCGGAAGGGTCCGTCGAAGCCTGACCATGCTGTCGTCAGGATTTGGCGTCGATGGGGTTGACCGTTGACGGAGACATCAGAGATGTGCAGGGAGAGGCAGAGGAAACGATTTGATACCTAATGTGATCACCAATTCTACGTGACAGTTATCGTAAGTTGTATTACCTGACTTTTGGCGATATGATATACCAAAAATACATGCAAGGCGATGGTTCCACAGTAATTTCAAAAAGATATGAGCTGCGTTCTCCAACAATACACATCATAAACGAATAGTCAGATGAATATTCATTGGCATGCTATCTATAAAGCGCAGTAATTATTACATAGAAAATACAAGTGCGTGAAATGTTCTAACCTTAATTTCCTAAAAGTATGAAATGAAATAAAATTTCTTAAAAGAGAAGATTGACCTTTCTTCAAGCACTTTAGATATCCGGATCTTAAGAAACCTACAAATCCCATCTGTACTCCTCTATACCTTTTTACCCGAGGGTAAAAGTCAAAGTTAATGCAGATTATAATTCATGTACTCGAACCAACCATTTCCTTCTACTCGAGTCGCCTTCATGTACCCCCTGTCTCGGTAGCCACTGAAGCTCACAATTATGTTGTCAGTGATCAGCCAGGAAAAATGGTAATTGTTCTTCCACATTAATGTCCCAATATACACACGGATACTCGACCAAGATTGCCAGTAGCATCCAGGATAACAGTACTCGGACATATTTAAGATATATAATCAGGCGTGTGTACAAACATGATCATGAACTATTACATTATCTACCTGCTGTCCTTTCACAAAAATATCACGAGTTAGAAGAATAAATGAAAGAAAAGAAGGATCCGGTTAACATTATCATCTCCCGCTTCCTTTTTATTTTATGGTTCAGAGAGTGGGAAGCTCTATATTAGGAACAAATGAACCATACATCCTTCAAAAAGTTCAAAAAAATGAGACAGTTGCTACTTTTGATGAATGCCTTTGCCGACTCCAATAGGATAGGTAAGGTGGAATGCCAAACTCTTTCATTCCTCCTAAAGTCCAGGAATGGACTCGAGGTTGTATTTTGCTGGTGCCGTGTCTTCACCGTCCTTGCTCTCTTGTGGCTCCGGGTTCTTAATGGGTCCCAGAGTCTGTAAATAAGAGTAGGACGTGTTTGCATTGGGGGACGGGCTCGGATTGCTTATTCTGCTTGCAAGAAACCTCCGGATGAGTCCCCTCAGAAATGGAGCCATAGTGTCTGGTTCATTTTCCAGGTAGAACATGATACCCCCCATGCACAAACAAAAAAGAGCAACCTGCCATTCCAGTTATATTGTGCTGCATGAGTAACAATTTGTTCATTCTTAAGAAACGTACTAGAATTACAACTATCAGTGAAGTTCGGACTTAAAATACCTCTGCATTCTTAATATGAGGAAGGAAATGACGGTTTACTGAAATGTACCATAAAGAATCCACAGCTCTTGGAAGCACATAAAGGGCCAATTCCGCTCTTCTAGCTTTCTTTTCTATAAGAACAGAAAGAGCAGCTATTGCACCAGAAATCCAGTAAACAAGTTTGTGATCTTTACTCGCAACTTTTCGGTGTAAACAAACAACAGCCTTGTATCATCCAAGACAATGATTACGTACTAAATCAATAATCAGGAAAAAAAAACTCAATTAAGAATAACTACCTGGAAGAGTCCTACAAAAGCAGACAAGAATGATGTTGAGCGCACAGCACCCAGAACAGCACGCCAAGATGTCCAAGCAGGAGACTCCAAGAACTATTGTTTTATTCAATAGAGAGATTTGCATGCCAAATAAATGTAAAAGATCAATCTAATTGGCTATAATATGAAAGAGACTTTGGTACTGATATTCATGCATATAATTTATTGAGTTAAATCACAAATTATAGATTAGACACCATAAGCTAATAAAGCATATGATCACAAGGAAGCTACTGTAGGTGTCCTCTGCATACAAAAAAATTCTCCTCATTCCCAAATAATTAAAGAGAACTCTAGCTGAGAACACTGAGAAATTGATAATCCTCTCCAGAATGAAATAAAAGTTCATGGTCAAGACAAGACTACTCAGAAGATTTACACAATGCAGCCACTTATTATTCCACTTTAATGGTGTCAGAATCTACATTATCAATCATAGGCTAGGATCAAGCAAGCAAGAATATCCTCTCATTAAATAAAATTGGTATGGTTAGGAGTTGTCTGATGAGAGCATATCAGAAATGTGATAAACATTGAAGCCAAAATGAAATGAGAAGCCATCATTAAAAACACAAAATCTTGCTTAGATGCAAATCTAGCTACGTACTTCACAATGAACTCAATACAGGAAAGAAGAATTTCTAGGGGACTTACATCTGCCCAAACTGTCTCTGATAATGTGTCGAACTAACCATTTTACTTTCCAAGTGCATTCTAGCATGATTATAGTGATTAACTAGAAGCTTCAACGCTAGATTTTGAAAGATCATACACCTTTGAGCAGCCATAATTCTTCTGATGCAATGACTATATTGTCCAAATTTTCAATAAACTCAGAGCTTATAACTTATGGTGAGAATATATAACCAAGTTCCAGTGTCCATAACAGTGTCAAACATAATGCGACACAACGGATACTGTATGTTCAAAATAAAGGATGTTTATTGGAATCTGATAATGAAATTTAAAAGAAAAAATCCACATATCAAATGCACAAAAAGTATAACTAATTACAAGGGTTTGAAATGATCAAGAAAATTAAAAAGGATCAATCTATTATCCTCCATCTAAAAGTTTGAAAGGACAAGACTCAAAATTAGCTTTCCCCAATAAAGCATGTGTGCTTGCTTTCTCCAAAGCATGGCCTATATACCTAGACATCGATATATAAACATCAGTTCCATCTACTACCTCAAGGATAAACATTGACTCAAGTATATGTTATACTAAACCACAAGATATCCACAACATGGTTTTAGTCAGTCTCTCAAGATGCATTATTGCTGAAGATTCCCAAGACTATAATCCATTAAAGTCTCATACTTCTTAGTTTAATTACAAGCCAGAAGGGCTGAGGTTATTGTATCTAGATAAAAGGTCAACAATAACAGGCTTCTTAAAAATCTTATACAGAAAAAGCAGATGACCCATATATGTGAACTTTCAGATAATACTAGATAAATGCAATATGTGTCAGGTTTATCAAGCATACAAATACTTTCTCACGTATACATTTTGAAACCACCATACACAAGATTCAAGCAAGGACACTAGATGCCTTATCTGGAATGGAAACTGAAATAAATAGTTTTCAGCATCACTAACATGGTTTAATTTGCAACAGCCACTACTACTGAGTGTGTCTAGGATAATTTCCCACAAATACGTGCAGTATATAGTGATTGAAACCATTTAAGTGCAGTACCTTTTGTAGCCGAAGAACAACAAATGGTACAAACGTCAGTGAGAAATAAAGAGGGAATGTTTTCCTAAATGTTTCTGATGCAGCAGTGCCGTTGTGAACTAGGCAAGACTCTGTGTCGGGATGTATTACTGAACAGGGAACAATGGAAGGATCTGCCATCAAGTTCATAGAGCTGAACTCCTTTTTGTTTGATAAGTATGCTGATAGAGAAACAAGATCCATAGGGCCACCTCTACAACATTCCCTAACTGCCTTGTACACAGGCTCTGCTACTGGTCCAGTTTTCTGTATAAAATCTTGGTATGATTTGGGCAAGCTCTCAGGTCTCATTACAAAGGCATACATAACCTGAAAACAAGTAAATCCATTCAGTATATGATTATTTAATTAAATTATATTTCACAAATGAGAAAACATTAACCAAAATCATTGGATGATACTCCTTGTAGGAATAGGAAAGCAGATATGAATGGGAAGCATAAAATAAAAAGTAAAAAATTAAATTGTAGCCAAAGCAGCAAGTTTACTCGACCATCTAATTCACAAAGATCTGCTAGTGTTACCACTACATGGGATGCTTAGTTCATTAAATGTTAGTTACATCAAAGAATTGCACGAAATGTAAATAAAGCAGCAACTTGAACATTTATGCAGTCAGGATGCAAATACTGTACGGATCCATGTTCCAGCGCTAGTCTATGAGAGAACGATATATCAGAGAAGATATAACCATGCCATATTTTTTTAAACCTTAACAAAATTCTGATTGCAGATTCAGTAACAATAAGAAGTAGAGAAAATATTATCTTTTTTAAAATGCATGAATTTTGGATGAATTATTGAGAGAATCCATTCTGTGTCAATCTGGTTCCATTATTAGTTCTATTTTCTCATTTAATCTCTTATCTCCTTGTTTTATCTCTTACCTAATCTTTAACCTGCCTATTCATTAGGTCATATTGCAAGTTTACTCAACAGCTTACTGCAATCATTTACTAATCATCAATCCTGCAACAAGTATTAGATTCCTCAATTTATTGATTATCTATTTTTCTATTTAGCTGTGATCACTTCATGAATAAAAATCACTTCCAGAGTCTTAATACTGCAACTATATTGTTCCAACAAAAAATCTAGTCAAATATATCACCACTCAGTTATAACAGCAGTCACAACCTACTATATACTGCAGTCAGATCTTGCAAATCCTGCACTAGTCTGCTTACACTTTGCATACAAACTATGGAAGACGGCATAAGCATGTTTCTTGTTGCAAATGATTAGTCATTTTGGTGGACCAAGGTTTTTAATCTGATTGTACTGATCATACAGTTCAGCATTTATGAGTCCAATGGCCAACAGGTGTGTTGACTGGATGGAATCTCCCAGTCTGGTTCCATATCACATGTATCATTCAGTAAAGTTATTTTAGCAGGTATACCACCTGATAAAGTAAATGGTAACTAGTTGTACCTAGCAATAGTACCAGTCCTGTTGCTTCCTTTATTTTTATTTTTGAAACTCCCAATATCTGACATGTATCCAGCTGTTTTTCTTCTCTCTTTTTCTTCTACCTTCACCTTCCCCTCGTTGATGTCGTTGCTACCTCCTCAATGATGCCCAGTGCCCTTTATATCTCTTTCTCCATTCACTTTTACTTCTCCAGGCAGTATCGGTTGGTTTCAACACTGGATATGTCCAGGCACCTACTGGTTCGGTCACCAATCAATATTGGCACCGGTCTGAGATTTTAATCCATGTATTGGAACATGCACAAGGGTACAAAAAGTAAACATGTTCTTGTGCTTTTACATCTGTTACTAAAAAAATAATTTGTAAACAATAAGGTGTAGCTTCAATAGAAGATAATAAGATAGAGTCAATTAAGATTGTGCGAACATATGCTAAGAAAACCTATAGACGCTATAGTAATAAGACATAAAGCAATTAGTATCTGGTGCACCAAGAGATAGAGAGTGAGACCTAAGAAGACTTCATTTGAAACTATAAATAAAGATCTAAATGCTTTTAATTAACTTAGGATATTACTTATTACGGAGTTCAATGACAGCAAAAAATGCATGCAGCTGATCCCAAAACATTGGAACATTACAAGATAATTGTTTACGTAAGATGGTAGAACAAAGAAAAGAAAATGGTAGCCATTTAGCAGGTATTTAAATGCTCTCATTCTTGGTGTCATTTTCTGAGTATATATTTCAAATGTAAACACTTTAGGTATGTCCCATATGCATACTCAGACCATAGCTATACCAATTACTAATCATTAAAAAGCCTAAATAAGTAAATAAAAAAATTATTTGTTGCTAAAGAATCATGTTATATCCTCATTATCAGTATAAATTCAAACATATATTTGCTCAACTTTATCAAAAGCACACACTCAAGTGAAGTAGAGAGTTCATGCTACGGTTTAATCACCTGGGCGCACGCCAAAGAAAAGAGCAAAGAGTCTCCATGTCTCCAGTGACTTCCCCAAAGATGAAACTTATTCTTCGATTTGGCTGAGTTATAGGCACACTGCCAAAATAAGCTGATGATTAGAAGTTAAAAGAATCAATATGAAATCATTTGTTAAGAACTACCTGTGCAAGCCTAGCTAAAAGATATAAAGCAAGAGTACGCCTTCGACTTGGATCATCCAATGCCAATATGGATAACCCTGCCACTGAACCCGCTAGTATTCTGATCCATCATGAGCTCCAAGTCATTAATATGGTTGAGCAATCAAGTAAAAAAGTAATAATTAAGCAATTTGTGTCAGTATGTGAGGCATTGAATCTCAATGAACTTACGCATTAAATTGTGTCTCTTTCTTCCTAAACTTCCTCAAGAAGCACCTAAGAGCATGGTAAGAACCAGTAAAACCACCAAAAAGCAATCCAACACGGCAAGCTTCTTCTCTTACAATCAAGTCTTTCTCTGAAACAAGTTGCTGCACAGCAAAATAAACATTAAGAATCTATTAATAAATTTTTTACTTTACATTCATCTAAATTGTTGCAAAGTATCCAAAAAATTTACCTTTGACAATTACACTATAGGAAACAATAAGTGGAGCTTTCACTATCTTGAATAAGATCTCACAGAATATATGAGATAGCATGCAATGTCACAGCCAATCTCAGATACAACATGCTACTTTACAATATCAACTCCTAACTTGAATTTGCATCAAGTGCTCACGTAGAGATTATAAAACTTTTTATTATATCAGAAAAAAGCACACACCTTTGCTAGAAAAAGAGCAACTATACAATGGCGTGCAATCACATTACACGGCATATGCACTTAGCATGTCTAGTACAAAATCTTAAAGGAAAAAAGAAAATGATGTCTTTTAGTTCCAATAGCGCATGTTGAATGTGTTACACCTAAGGGCTAAATTGTATCTCAACCTATGAGACTCTTCTTCATCCAAGACATCCATCATGATTGGAATCCATAAAAATCTCAAATATTTGTCCACCAGAAGCTTGTCAGTTATTACAAAGGATTTCCCCCTATTCTGTAAGTACCATAACTGATAACTAGCAAAAACCTTTCCATTCACCTAGATCATGGCAAAAAAGTCTTGCAAAATGCAGCATAAAAGCATAAACATACATGTGATGCTGTCAATGCTGCATATGCTTATACAGTCTCCATAAGCATCCACTGAATATTGGCAAGCAGGTTTAGCCAGATATGTCCATATCTGATGGGTCATCTGATGGTCAAGAGATGGGTTATCTGATGGTTAAGGTAGTAGTTGAAATTTGTTTGGCTTCTGTCCTTATACATTTTCTTTCATACGTTAAATATGAAATCATGATGATCATCGTCATGGATGCAACGGTCTAAGCCTTTCATTAAATGATAAGGCAATGGAGGCACTCTCCCCCACTCAGGTTCCTCCAACTTCATTTTTTCTCAAGTCAAGGGACAATTTGCCACTTAAGCCTCATCCTGCACCCTCTCCATCTACTTTTCTCCTTTGCTCTCTCATTACTGGCCAACTTTCCACATGAGTTTCTCTTCAATCTTCATCACACCTTCACTTTAAATCTTAGACTGCTCCACTGCCTCTTCTCACTCCCAAAAATTTTTATAGTAAGCAAGAAAGAGATATGGAAGTGACAAAATAATCAGAAATAAGACATCTGTTCAGCTCTTTTTTGAATCATCTGGATAGATGCTTCCTAGAATACAAACATCAGCTGCTTGCACTCCACCAAACAGCAACCAAACAATGAAAAATTCTCCTCCTTAGACATGATCACAGACATACCAGGTGTGGATCACACTGATTTACAATTCTCCTAAGACCAATATCCATTGCAATTATTAATCCTTACAGCAGAGGAAAGCAAGTTTTAGAAATTAGTTCAGATGACCTATCAGATCAGTCCAGCACTAATATACTGGGGAGGATAGTGACCTGTACAGACTGGTATTATCAAATAAAATAATAAAACATCAACTGTATATGTACCATATCAAGCTATACATTTCAATATCAGTATTTGGTCAGAGTCGTCAGACTGTTTAATACTGAACATGTACCAGTCTGGCTGATATTTAAACATTGGCACAAAGATTTTTGTGCTAGTATAATCCACCGGCTCCTGAAAACATTTGCATTTGCCTCCAATTAACTAGCCTCTGAAATCACATGCCACGAAACCTACTCCTTTCCAGCAATATTAAACAATACTACCATCACTTAAATGCAGTGGGTCAGCAATCTTTACTACAATGCCATACAATCCCATTAAGTTGCAGGTTGTCCTTAATCTCCTAAAGTCAAAATTCAAATGGTTAACATTCTACCCCTTGCTGCAAGCTTTCTTCCCGAGCTCAAATTTAATTTCTTCCAGAGAAAATTGCCAAGGCACAGATCAGGATCCTCCTACTCTCTTTCTCTTTGAGCAGACTGAAACAACTTAGGGCCAAGAGCTTCAGTTGGCTTCGATGCAATAAAGAAAGCAAAATCCAATCCTGCCCAAACCTCTTCCAAAACTAGACAGCAAAATGTAGCAGGTCGTGCAGTGTTGAACGCTCCTCCACATCTGAGACAAACACTTCAAAGCACTGACCATTTCCTGATGGCAGAACATCATGGGCCAAATGCCATGGTGAAACTTTAATTTTGTCTGGCACCTGTAGCTTCTACAACTGATTTCAAAAATTCATTCCGAACCCACTGCAAGATTCGGCACCTGCATTTTTTCTTCTATCTCACCCTGCACAAAATTCACAGGTTTCTCCACCATATCAGACTAAGGTCCTGTAGTAGTTTTTAGCAGTGCAACTTCTATCCCTTTTGTAACGCCAAATCAGCTTGCCTTCTCTTCTACTGTCTATAGTATATTGCAGATTGCCTAGGCTTCATGGTGCCAAACATAGCTCTCGTCACCTCCTCTTCCTAAAAAGTTGTCGCAGATCAATCAAGTTGCTTACCTTCTAGGGTGGGTGGCAAAATGACCGGTTGGGTGGGGTTGTCAGGCGGAAATGCATGTGTGTGTTGAAATGTCAAGTAAAACTTGCCCCTTAAAGCTTAGTTAAGGAGTGAATACCGTATGCTGCCTTTTTCAATCACAATTTATCCCACTTTGGCAAAATAACAAGCACGGAATGTGATAGAACCCCAGAGGAATTCTATATATATTGATCTTCGAGGGGGATCAACCCTTGGAACGCTATAGGGGTTCCACCCAGTGTCTGCCGTACCAAGCAGTACCGCCCGATACGGGCGGTATGTACCGGTCCGACAGGTTATTGGTACGCGGACCGCCCGGTACCGGTCCGCTACAGTAACACTGTAGTGCACTGTAGCAGTGCTGCAGTGCTTGGTACACCTAGGTGTACCGCTCGGTACACTGTACCGTACCGGTACCGAGCCCAGGTCGAAATACCGGTACGGTACGGTATTGCGAACCTTGGTTCCACCCTTCTAGAAGTCAGCCATATGATTGTAATTGTAGATAGATCTTATTCCCAAAGAGATGGAGGCTACATGCTTATATAGGGCTCCAAACCCTAGCCCTAGGTGTTGCTTCCTAAGTGAGTTACCCATTTTGCCCTCAACCCTAATCAACCAGCCCAGTAAAAGAGGGCGACGGCTAGGAAGCCCAAAGACCCAAATATAAACCCTAGCCACTCTTCTTTATAGGATAGAGGCGGCTAGGTGGGATTTATTACAATCTCACAGGGTTTTATTAGCTGCTTCTTGATTGAGCAGGACACAACCCTGCTAGGGTCCTATCAAGCCCCCCCCCCCCCTCCTCAAAATCAGCCTTATCTTCAAGGCTGAGGTTCCATGAACTCAGGGAACCGAGTCTTCAGCTCCTCATGTGATTCTCATGTGGCGTCTTCGAGTGGTAAATTATTCCAATGCACTAGTACTTCATTAGAGGGACGTCAACGACACATCACGATTTTGCGATCAAGGATGACTTGTGGTTGGGCTTAAATATCTCCATCATCAGTGGTGTTGGGCAGTTGGATCTGGGGTGACTCGTGTTCTCCCAACTTGGAATTCAAGCATGACACGTGAAAGACAGGGTGAATTTTAGCATCCTCAGGAAATTTAAGTTTGTACGTCACGGCTCCAATACACTCTGTGATTTGATAGGACCCACAAAAACGTGGGGATAGCTTCATGGAGGCTCGTGTGTTGATGGAAAGTTGCTTGTATGACTGTAGGCGAAGATAAACCCAATCTCCTACTGAAAATTCTCTTTCGCTTCGTCGTGTGTCGGCTTGCTGCTTCATTCTGGCTTGAGCGGTAGAGAGATTATCCTTTAACAGCTGTGGGAGTTTGTCCATGTTAATTAAATCTTGGTCGACCTGATCTACCTTGGCCGAGCCAATTACATACTTTGGAATCACAGGGGCCGACCGACCATACAGTGCTTCATATGGGGCACATCTTGTAGATGAATAATATGTAGTATTATACCATCATTCGGCCCAGGGAAGCCATTTCACCCACTCCTTTGGCCGGTCACTAGCGAAACACCGAAGGTACGTCTCTAAACACTTGTTCACCACCTTTGTTTGGTCGTTAGTTTGTGGATGATATGTTGTGCTCATCTTGAGTTTGGTGTCTTGTAACTGAAATAACTCGGTCCAAAATTTACTAGTGAAGATCCTGTCACAATCACTTACAATGGGCATTGGCATCCCATGCAGTTTAACAACATTTTCTATAAAAATCTGAGTAATACTAGCAGTAGTGTAGGGATTTCGCACAACACAAAAATGAGCATATTTCATAAGTCGATCAACCATCACGAGGATTGTGCTTTTACTTTTGGAAGGTAGCAACCCTTTAATGAAGTCTATGGAGATATCAGTCCACACCGAGTCCGATATGGGTAGTGGTTGTAGCTTCCCTGAACTCGCCACTATTTCACCCTTTTGCTGTTGACACACATCACATTATGCCACATATTCAGAAATAATTTTTTTCATCCCTCTCCAATAAAAAAATTGCTTCACTCTTTTATAGGTTCTCAGAAATCTGAAGTGCCATGTTGAAGGTGTAGAGTGCATTTTGTGCAGGATGATTTTGATATAAGGGGAGTCCGGTATAAGTACAATGCAACCTTTATAGCGTAGATCCCTCGAATCCCAAGTGTAGTAGGATATTGCGCTTGGATCCTCTTCCAATTTTTTTATGATGTTACTGATCTCTGAATCCTTCTTTCATTCCTCCCTAAAGTTCTCGAGGAAGCCGGTGGTAGGAAGGGAGATGACTGAAATTTTAGCTTGCTCAGGTAGCTATGAGAGTGCATTTGCAACAACGTTCTCTTTCCATTTTTTGTAAAAAAATTCATAATCAAATCTCAAAAATTTAGTTACCCATTTTTGCTACTTAGGGGATGATATCTTCTGCTCCAAAAAGTACTTGAGGCTTCTATAGTCGATTTTAATTTGAAATCGTCGGCCGATCAGGTAGGGTCTCCACCTCGTTATTGCGTGCACAATGGCGAGCATCTCTTTATCATATATTGATATTTTTTTATGGGAGGGAGATAACGCCTTATTGGTGTATACGAGTGGTCGACCATCTTGTATGAGAACGGCTCCAATTCCGACTCCAGATGCATCAGCCTCAATAATGAAGGGTCAATTGAAATCTAGTAGCGCTAGCACCGTAGTCGTCGTCATGGCTGTCTTAAGTTTGTCGAATGCAGTAGAGGCTTTGTCCGACGATTGGAAGGCGTCTTTTTTCAGTAGAGAAGTGAGGGGTACACTGATCTTCCCATAGCCCTTTACAAATTTTCGGTAGTAGCCCGTTAGTCCAAGAAACCCGCGCAGTAATTTCATGTTTGTAGGTTTCGGCCAGCCCTGCATTATTTCAATTTTTGTTGGGTCTACCATCACTCCTTCTGATATTAGATACTCTACATTTTGTTGAAGAAAAATGCACTTTGGTTGCTTAACAAAAAGGGTATTCTCCTGAATGATCGTCAAAACAACCTGTAAATGCTGAAAGTGAGTCTCAAGAGAAGGGCTATAAATGAGAATATCATCGAAAAATACCTGCACAAATTTGCGAAGAAAGCTCCGAAAAATATTGTTCACGAGACTTTGGAAGGTTGAAGGAGCATTAGTGAGTCCAAAAGGCATTACCAAGAATTCATAATGGTCGTTATATATGCGAAATGTAATTTTTAGAATGTCGTCTTCACATACCCGAATTTGGTAGTAATAGGATCGGAGGTCCAACTTCGTGAAGACTCGAGCTCCTTTTAACTAATCAAGAAGTCCATCCACCACTGGTATTGGGTACTTGTCCTTGGCAGTGATGCCATTTAAAGCTCGATAGTCGATGCACATCCACCAAGTTCCGTTCTTCTTGCGTACAAGTAGCACTGGTGAGGAATAAGGGTTGCAACTTGGCCGAATCACCCATATTTCAAGCATCTCCTTTACAATCTTTTCAATTTCATCCTTCTGGAGGTGAGGATAACGGTACGACCAAGTGTTCGCTGGTGGTTTGCGCAGAAGAATTGAAATCCGATGATCATGTTGCCGAGTAGGAGGAACACCGCGCGGTTCAGCAAAAATGTCGACAAATTCAACAAGCAATTGGGCGAGATTTTAATCTTCAATTTATATTTTTCTTCCCCTCTGGTTGCTGCTGGAGATGCATCAAAAAGCCACCATTTACCTTGTGTAAAACTTTCTCTATTCGTTGGGTTGAAACGATGGTTACGTTGCTTTTGCGCTTCCCACGTAGGATGATCTGTTTGCCTTTGCAGTAGAATTTCATAATTAATTTGGAAAAGTTACAAGAGATATCACCTAGCGTCGTCAGCCATTCTATGCCAAACACGACCTCATAATCATCAATTGGTAGGAGGAAGAAGTTGGCGACAATTTCTTGGTCTTGCAATAATAGTTTCACCTGCGGGCATCTTTGGTCGCACTTTAGGATTCTGCCGTCGGCGACCTTTACGTCGAACTTGCTGCAACCTTCGATGTGGAGCGCCATCCGAGCAGCAACCTTACTGTTTAGGAAGCTATTAGTGATGCCCATGTCGATGAGAACAGTGATCGATTGTTGTTTGAGAAGGCCTCCAACTTTCATCGTTTACGGGTTTGAGTAGCCGGCTAGCGTGTGTACCATAAAGTCGGTCGTTTGTGGCTCTTCTTCCGCATCTTCTTCTTCATGTTCAAGACTCTCTTCTAGATGTTCAATAACCTCTTCTACTGGTTCAATCACAAGAAGTCTCCATTTTTTACAGCGATGCTCGCGGCTCCACGGCTCGTCGCAATGCTAACATAACCCCTTCGCAGATCGCTCCCGAAGCTCTTCTCTTGTCAACTTTTATGGTGCAGGGGCCAGGCTGACAGTAGGGGGGCTGAGGGCTTCGGTATTGTTGGTTGGGGAGCGACCCTAGTTCTCCGGGCTTCATGGTTCAATCGCTCCTCTTGAAGTCGTACGAAAGAGATGGCTGTCATAAGCATGTACGGTTGTCACGCTTTAACTTCTCCCCGGATCTCCGGCTTCAAGCCCTCAATGAAGGTCCCAAATAGCTGCTTTTCAGACAAATCACGAGTTTGATTAAATAACCTTTCAAACCTGGTTTGGTACTCCAAAATGGTGAAGGTTTGTCGGATCTTTGCTAGTTGTCCGTCAATGTTCTCGTAATCGATTGGTCCGAAGCGGATTAACAGTCTTTCTTTGAATTGTCGCCATGAGAGGACTCCATAAGTGTGTTCAAACCAGTTAAACCATTGTATGGCATCCCCTTCAAGATGTATAGCCGTAATTTCCACCATAGATGCGTCTGCGGTTTTGTGGTACCGAAAATATCGCTCCGCGCACAAGATCCAACCAATCGGGTCTCCTTCCCATCTAGGGAAGTCCACCCTCATGCGTAGATAGTAGGGATCGGTCACAAAGCCTCCCCTCTCTTGGAAGTCATCTCTTCGGTCAGAGTTCTCTCCTTGATGTGATTTCTTCGGGCTCGGTGGTTAGCCCAAACTGAGTTCGATAAAAAGAGTCTGAATCTTATCCTCCATTCGGCTCTCGAAGGCTTCGAATTTAGCATTGATTGCCTCTTCAGATGTCATAGTATATGCCTTCAAATCTGTAATGTTAAAATCTCTCTTTTGTTGTCGGGTTAAAGGTATAAATTAGTTGAGAGAAGTGTTTGCGGTTTAAGCTTGTTTTGTGGTTGTTATGTAAGAGCAGAATTGTCGTCGAAGAAACAACGGTTTCAAGACGAAATTTCTAGCAAAAATCGAGAGATTTGAGGAGGGATTTTGACAACAAAATCTCGATTTAGATAACAGCAATGATGACAAATTTGATCAAAAAGATTTCGGCAGTATAACAACAAGGAAATCGATGTAAGTTGCGATAGCAGAATTCTCGTCGAAAAATTCAATTTCACAACGAAATTTCCAACAGAAACCGAGAGATTTGAGGAGGGAATTTGACAGCAAAATCTCGGTTTAGATAACAACAATGATGATAAATTTGATCAAGAAGATTTCAGCAATATAACAGTAAGGAAATCGGTGCAAGTTGCGATAGCAGAATTCTCGTCGAAAAATTCTAACGGTTTACGACGAAAATTTACAGCAACACAAGAACGTTTTAGAGATAAATTCCTCAATAGATCAATCTCAGATGGAAGCCAAGACGATCTATGAAGCGTATAAGAAATTTCGTTCAAAAATGATAACAAATAGATCGATTTAAAGACAACAATATGCGGTTGAAATTTTCTGCAGCAATCCTTCGTTCGCAAAGATGATAACTTTTACAACGAAATAAATTCGTAGTATGAGATATATAAAAAGACTTCTTTTTGGTATTTTAAATGAAAAATTATGTATTGGTGATAGGAGAATATCATATCTCTGATGCAATTGGAGGTAACGACAATAGATTGATTTGATCTACGACAAAAGATGACGGGTTACATGCTTATATAGGGCTCCAAACCTTAGCCCTAGGGACTGCTTCTTAAGTGAATTACCCTTAACCCTAACTGACCAACCCAGTAAAAAGGGGCGGTGGCTAAGAAGCTAAAAGGCTCAAATATAAACCCTAGCCACTTTTCTTTATAGGATAGAGATGACTAAGTGGGGTTTATTATAATCTAAGAGTTTTATTAACTGATTCTTGGATGAGTAAGACCCAACCCTGCTAGAGTCATATGAGAATGCTCACAATCTACTAATACAAAAAACTCAACGAGAAGGATTATCAGAGATAAAAGAGAGGAAATTACCTTGAGGTCCAGAATAGAGGAGTAAGATTGACGCCGCGCGAGTTTAAAGGCCCGGAGGAGGATACCAATCCCAACCCTAACGCCATACGAGAGCAGGAAGCTCTGGCACAGGTTCCCGATGGCGTGGGCGATGCAGGACTCATCGGCGTGGTCGCAGCAGGGTTTCCCGTCACCGAATGAATCATCCCGGCTGGCGTGGTGGTGGCGCTGCAACTCCTCGATCGCCTCCCTCAGCCTCTCCTCCGCCTCCCGGAGCCGGCGCTCCGCCGCTTCCGAGGAGACGCTTCCGCCAGGGTGCGGCGAAGGAAGCCGATCGGGCCCGGCGGCGGCGGCGGAGGGGGCGGAGGGGGGCAGCGACATGGCATCCGGCGGCGGTGGCCGATGCACGGTTTTGTATCGAGTTCTTGACGGAGTTAATAAAAGCCAAGACGGAAGAGGGCGCGCGTGCTCTGCGGCTTACAAGATGCAAATAATCGCATAATAATATTTCTGCAACGCAATGATCTTTCGTTCGATTGTTCGGGCTTTATATCGAACGGTCATAAGTCCTCGCTACGGTCTGATGTGGTGCGGTGATGCTCTGGTTAAGGAAACAAACAAATTTCCTGTTTTTTTTTGCATTATCAATTCCTATTTTAGCGAAAAGTTGATATTGTCAATTCCTATCATCGAACGGCTTGGAAATGTTGTTTCTCACGTAAGCTATACACATCTTGACGCATACGACATGGAGAGGTTCGGTACTACCGCCTGCAGCCTCTCGGAGGTTGTATGGGCGGTATCATCACCCAGATCGACGGTATCATCTTCTGACATAGTTTCGGAGATTATGTCACGACGATGTCACCTCTTAGGGCACTGTTTGGACCTTTTCATTGGACTCAACACAGTTCTTACATGGGCTCAACTGGTCCCTAATTGGGTTGACCCAAATCCAAACATAATTACGTGCTAACTATGATTCCTTAGACATATTCTAAGCTAAACAAGTCTGTAAGTCTAGTTTCTTCCGGCGAGCTTTCGGTGACCTTCCGATGAACTTCCGACGATCAATCGACAATGTTCCAACGGACTCCCGGCAAGCTCCTAGACTTCACGACGATCTTTTTGGCGAGTTCTGATGAGCTTCTCTGGCAAGCTCCGAGACTTCTCAGCTGGTTCCTACAGAACTTCTGACGAATGTTTGGACTTCCGACGAACTCTCGAACTCCCAACGAAATCGCGTCCTTGACTCTGAGACTTCATTTTGCTTCATGCCTTGCTATCGTAGTTAATCCTGCACATGTAAAACATACTTCGATCTAGACAATTAATACTAAGCATGAATCATGTTGTCCGACATGTCATTAATCCCTCGACGCTTCGTCCGATTCTTCGGCGCATCGTCCTCTCTTGCAACCTATTGCCCAATCGACGAGTTGGCTCCGCAACTTCGATATCCTTAGCGCAATATCCGCTCTTCTTGGCCCGATGCTCGAATCCATGGCTCGAAGCCTTCTATCGATATGTCGATCGATCCTCCAACCCGACGTCCAATCTTCTGACATGTTTTCCTCTGGCCTAACATGATTTTTCATACTTTAATTGTCTCATCCTAATCGAAGCATCATGCGTCACTTAAAACGCAGATCAAATCATAAACACTTATCAATTAGTTTCATCATCAAAATATGAGATTCAATAATAATTATAGTTGAGATTGGGAGGTAATCCCATCAACTCTGTTAGGGGCCAACTAGGCCCGAAGTTGAACTGGTTTGGGCCTGATTCAAGGCCAACCAGGGTGCTGAAACCCTGGCCGACGATGGCACCGCTTGGGGAACAACACCCCAGGATTCCTAGGTAGTGGTTCGCCCAGGCTGGGCGGTGGTACCCTGGTAGTAGTGTTGCCAGCGGTGGTACCTCCCTTGTTTAGTGGTGGTACCACCCAGTACCAGATCCTACGGTGGTAGTACCGCCCAAGAACGACAATGGTGCCACAAGTACCTAAGAAACCTGAGATGAGACATTTTTAGGCTAGTTTAAATCAACTTGAAGCCTATAAATATCCCCCTCATCCCTGGTTAACAAACACAAGACTTGAGAGTAAAAATAGAAAGAAACGTTCCTGCAATCTTGTATGAACTCCTCTCAAAAGTTTAAAGTGTTAGAATAGTTTGAGAGAGGAGTAAGTGAGGGTGTAAGGGTTATCTCCTAAACCCAGTAAAAGGAGAATCGAGTTGTAAAAGGTGGTTAGTCTTCGCTTATTGAAGGAAGACCGATAATGGATGCCGGTGGCCTCAACGGAAGAGGAATCACGGAGTGGATGTAGGTCACGATGACTGAACCACTATAAAAATCCGGTTTGCTTTACTTTGAGCAATTTACTTTAAACTGTAAACTGCCTTATCATTACTTGCTACGTTCCTCTTATTGCTTTCAAAGTTAACTATTTCCGAAATTAGATTTATCGTACAAAATGAAGAAATTTTCATAACCGACGTGATTTGACTACTGCACTAATTCACCTCCCCCCCCTCTTAGTGCCGATCCCTTTCCTAACAATTGGTATCAGAGCCTCATATTTCTTATTTGATTTAACACCCAAGAGAAATGACTCTTTTCGGCTTTCAAGAGGGTCACTCTCTTATTCGTCCTCCCTTGTTCAATGGGACGGACTACACTTATTGGAAAACTTGTATGAGAGTTTTCTTGCTTTTCTTAAACCTTGATTTATGGAATATTATTGAAAATGATTTTTGAATGTCTTCTTTCCAATAAACCATTGGAATAATTTGGAGAAGAAGATATTTTCTTTAAATGCTAGAGCTATGAATGCTCTATTTTGCGCTTTAGACAAAACTGAATTTAATCATGTTTCTATGTATGAAACGACTTTCGACATTTGACACATTCTTGAAACCACACATGAAGGCACTAGTAGAGTAAAAGTTTCGAAGATTAATCTTTTGATGTATGATTTCGAATTGTTTCATATGAAACCAAGCGAAACCATTGGAGACATGTACACCCATTTTACGGATGTCGTTAATAGTTTAAAATCACTTGGTAAAAGTTTTTCAGATTTTGAATTTGAATAAACAAAATTTTACGTTCTCTTTCTAAAGATTGGGATTCAAAAATAACTGCCAAACAAGAGAGGCTAAAAACCTAAACAACCTTCCACTCGAAGAACTAATTGGGTCTTTAAAGACCTATGAAATGAACAATGTGGCAAAAAAAAAACTCGAGAACCACCTTCTAAAGAACAAAAAGAATTTTAGACTAAGAACAATTGAAGACTACTCGAGCATAAGCTCAAGTGATGGTGAACTTGAACTCATCACTATGAAATTTAAAAAGTTCATTAAGCAAAAATTAAAGAACAAAAAAAATGGAAATACTCGCTATGAATGTAAGAAGGAGTTGCCAAAAGACGAATCGAGCTCCTCCGAAGATGAGGAGAAAATCAACAAAGGCGAGATGGCAAACTACGCCTTAACAGCTTGACGAAGAGGTAAATGAAACTTCCTTAATTTATTTCAAAATTACATGATACTTTTAATGAATTAATTTTAATTTAGTTTAATTATTTTTTTTGAAAATTATATGATTAATAATTTAATAAAAATACTAAAAAATTAGGATCATACTTATCATTCTAGTAATTTTGAAAATGATCATGAAAATTGTATGTCTTGTGATAAATGAACAAAATATTAGAATTAAATATAGTGATTAATTTATTGTATGGTATAAATAATTATGTGTATTGTGATGATTTTGTATTGCTTTTTGAGTTTTGTTGGATGGCTTTCATATGAAAAATTTGAGCATACTTTTATAAAATCAATCACATAAAAAGATAAATAAAATCTTTTATCTAAATAAATAATAATGTGTATCATATTGATTTTCTTATTGATTTTTGATTTTGATTGAAAATAATTTATGTCTAATGAAACTATACTTGATATCTTGATGAAAATGTAATAATGATTTAAAAGCATGCTTAACGAGTTTATATTTTGAACTTTTGCATGATAATTTTTGTGATCTTTTGAAAGTTCTTTTTTGGTGTTAATGAATGATGCATGGATTTGAAAGAAAAGAACATGCATATACGAAATCAATCAATAAGTTAAAACAAAAAGAAGGAAAGCATTTTTCTTGAAAATTTTCTTTTTCTTTATCTTATTGATTTTTCACTAAGAGACCAATAAAATTATTTATGCCATTTTGAATCTCTTGAAAGAAATGTTGAGATTTTGATGATTTTGACGATTTGAATTTGAATGAATTTTATCAAAATCATGATGTTGGTTTCTTGGAATTACAATTTTTTGAATCAAGATATCTTCTTTATACACCTATAATTTTTTTTATTCTTGGAAGAGATTTACTATATGAATAATGTTTTTGGTATTCAAGTGGTCTTATCTTTGATAACATGATTTCTTTGTATTTATGACACGAATGCCTTGGAATGATTGAAATATTTTACACTATTATGTTTTTCCCTTATTCTTTCTTGTTTATAATGATAAAAGGGGAAAAAGTTATGATCATGCATGGTAGGATGTAATTTGATAAATTGAAACCATCATGATGTAAAATATTTATGATTTGGAATGATGTATGTAATACTTATGCTTTTTATTATGATGATGTATGTGATGTATTGCATATGATGTGAATCATGATTGAAATTGCCTTGATTTAAATTCAAGGTTTATCTCAATTATGGTATTTTGAAATAAGAATGAATACTTTACCTTTGTCATGATTTGAAAATCATTGTAAAAGAAAAAAAACTATAAAATTGTATTCTTCTCTTCTTTTCGACAATGACAAAGGGGGAGAAATATTGCTAGCTCAAGATGTAAAATTTGGAAACTTACACTTTGCAAAGGAGGCAAAATTGCTAGTTCAAACATTGCAAAGGAAGCAAAAATTTGCTAGCTTGAAAATTGCATGGAGAAAAAAGTGCTATCTTAATACCTAGCATATCTAAAACTTGATAGCTTGCTGTAACACTTGCTAAATTTACTAATTCATAAATTGTATGATGATAATATTTTTCATGCAATGATTTGAACTTATATCTTAAACACTTGATAGTTGGAACTTCCCCTTTTTGATGATGATAAAGGGGGAGAAGTATGATCATGTTATGCATGATGACATATTGTAAATATTCATGATAAAATTTACAATGACTTGAATTCAGCTTGAATTCAAAGTTATATCAATATGGCATATTGATAAGGGGAGTTTGTTTAAACTCCGGGAGTTAAGGTTAACTTCGTCATCAATTATTGTTATCATAAAAAAAGGGGGAGATTGTTGAATCTCGAATTTTGATGATAAAACCAATTGATAGGTGTTTATGATTTAATCTACATTTTGAGTGATGCAGA